CCTTTTTTAGTCTAAGTGCCCCCAACGACTGGACACTGAGCGGAGGTGGGAAGGTTGTGCATGGCGGGATGCCAAGAGGGGACTGGCATGTGGCTGGATGCCACGAAGGGGGGTGCCACGTGGCTGGATGCTGAGCAGAGAGGCAGGGACGGCGTGCAGAGGGGCATTGCTGCCCTCACCCTGGCTCAGCCTTGCTCCTGGGAGGTGACAGTGCTCTGTCCCCGCCCACCTGCATGTACCCCCTACGATCAGTCCAAGTACCCGCAGGGGTACACGTACCCCCGGTTGACAACCTCTGGTGTAATGAAAAGACAAGAGACTAAAGCATTAAACCTATTTCTGCCAGTGAGTTCCTCTGTGTGATTTCATACCTGGTTTTTAATCTCTACCTGACTATTTTCCCTCCCCCACTTTGCCCAGTCCAGTGGTGCTCAATCTTTTGGCCCTGCATGTGAGATGAGTGGGGTGGGCTTGGTCTGTGGGCCAGACTGGGCCCCATGAGCTAGGATTGGGTCCTGTGCCACCCTGCATGAAATTTGGCAGCAATGGAGCAGCAATTAATGCTCCCACCACTTCCCAGTCACCAATTTTTCAGTCCCATCAGCCAGATTACACTGCTCTAAGGACTGGAGCGGGCCCATGGGCTGTGAGTTGAGCACCCCTGGCATAGTATATTTAGACTGCAAGAATTTCAAGTGATTGTCTCTCTCAGTGTGCCTGCCCACTATACACAATAGGGACGCAACTTTAGTTTGGCCCTTCTACCCTTGCTGTAATGCCAAAATAACAACAAGGGGATTCCTTTATTATCTTTTCCTTACCCTCTGACAATTCCCAAGACTAGAATCTGGAAGTATCCATTGCTTGTGGGGAGAGAATGGGGCTGGATAATAAAAAACAACCCTTACTGTTAGCTGGAATCCAGCTTCTCTTCAGATACATTTTCATGATCCAAAGGGATAAGTTTGGTATGGTGATCTCCTTCAGAGGAAGAGAAGCCATCTTAACCTTTTCCCTCAATTCTGTGATGGAATTTTTTAAAAGGAGCTCCCAGAAGTCCAAATAGACATATAGATCTTTTAGCATAAAGCATATCACCTACAACTTCAGTTTCTGCAACTGTGACAAGAATGATTAATAATAACAGGGAAATAAAAGCCAGATTTATATAGGACAGTAATAAATTGTGCCCTAAAGTAAATGATGGCCTTTGCAATAAGAGGCCACTGAGAGTTATATTCTGACAATATGGAGATGCCTGGCTTTCCCCCGTGATGCTAACAACCATTGCTGACAGGCTGAAGGAATCTGAAGGCTAGTAAAACATTTGGCATCACAATGCCAAATGATGCAGAGTTTAATATGGAGAACAAGTCTAAAAGAGCAGACCAGCTGTTTTGGCTCAAGCAAAGGCAAAAACCACTGCACTGCTCCTTGTCCCTCCCTGCCATAATTCCCACAAATCTCTGAGATTTGATTTAAGTTTTTGAAGACCATGGAAACAGTAATTAAATTTAGTATCAGCAATGATGGAAAAAAAACAGATTATGTTAATTATACAAGAGAGTGTAAACAGGATCCATTCCAAAGTAATCTTTTCTTTTCTGTTTAAAAGGCTTGGTTAACTTAGTGCTTGCTGTTTCTATTCCTGTCTACAGTCTTGGCCTTTCAACAGCTTGCCACATTTTGATATTTTCTGTTAGTGACCAAGGCAACGGTACTGAAGAACAGGACTACTCAAAAGAAAGAGCTGCTAACACAAGTTCCTTTCAAAAGCCATACCCAAAGCTAAAAATGCATGTTTATTCTACATTAAAAGGGATTCCATTTCTTCCTGTGGATGACTAACATGCCTTCTTTTTAATGGTTTTACATGCTACATTTAAAGACTCTCTCTCTCTCTCTCTGGTGATCTGCTTTAGACCCATACCAACTTGATGATATATATAAGTTTGTGTGGCTGAAAAAGAAAGAATTTGACTTTATATCTTTAATTTTTTGCCATAATAACTGATAGAAGCTTGGGCTTGCTTCCATAGATTTAGGTTAGTAAGCAAAATGGGCTGGCTTCGGTTACATGGGCATAACTTTTCCTAACTTTTAAATTAGTAAGGGGTTACTCTACTACACATGGGTAGATCCAGGATTTTGTAAAGGGGGTTGAGGACCAGCAGTTGGCACTGCAGGGCTGACTGAACCTTGCTTTCAGTTTCCCCCACCCACCAGGACAGGCAGACCACACTGCAGGAACAGCAGCCAAGGACTATATTAAATCCTTGAATTCGGTAATAATCTCTCCCACTTTTTCTCAGCTTCCTCTCCCTTTCAGTCCTGCTCAACAGCACCTCCTTCCCTCTCCCTCCCCTTGCCCTTTATACTTATTCCTCTGGGCTCATAAAGGGAAGACTCACCTGTCATCACCGCTACTGTTGTCCCTGGCTGAGCCTGGCTCCGGCTGGAGTGGGACAGGAGCAGTTCTGGAGCTCCCCCTGCCCCTGAGTCAGCCAGGGGTAGCAGCTGATAGGGGAAGTGGGGAATGGGAGGGGAAGTGCTGCTGAGCATGGAGCAGAAAGGAGAGGGTGCTGAGACAGGGATTTCTTACCTGCTTTGGAGACCTTAAAAAATGTCCCTGGCTGCTACTGTCATAATGTGGTCCAAAAGGGAGGATGTGACTGAGCCACTGCATCCCCTCTGGATCCACCTCTAACCAGTGCCATACCTAGACTCCTGGTGGCCCCAGGCAAACTTTTAGTATTGGGCCCCCCTTCGCCAGAGATAATGATAATAATAAACTGGACAACAGAAGAAAAAAAAAAAATTTTGGGGTCCAGGCCCCAGGCGGCTGCCTGGTTCACCCATGCCTATGTCTAGCCCCGCTTCTACCCATGCTTGGAGCTGAACTCAGAAAATCTACTCATCTCTATACTGTTCTTTAGATTAGATGAAGAATAAAAGGGGTCCAACATCAGTTTCCTGGACAAATTCTACCGAAATAAACAAACAATATTTATAACCACTCAAAAAGTTTGAATTGGCTACAGAGCTCTTTTTCAGCATGGAGAGATAAATGCAGATACCCAACTTATATCATTTTTGTACACTGATGCTAATTACACTGGGATCAAGAACAGAGAAATAATAGGGTTATACTGTGGTAGCTCATATGGAAGTCTACTGTACTTCATGGCTAGATAGTGGGGACTGTGCAGTAGTAGCCTTTCTGCCTCTAGCTAACAGCCATCCTCCACGATGGACTCAAACCGATGGAATTTAAACCATGTGGATTGATGTAGCTTATGTTGGCAGAATGTTATGCCTGATTCTTTCAGGGGAAGAAACAGAGTGAGAAGAGTGTTCAAGATTAAAGAAAAACAAAACAAAGGGGGAAGCAGACACTCCAAGAAACAAACAAAGGAACGGTATAACTTATGTAATAAGAAAAAGATGGGGGAAAAGAAGAAAAGATGACATATCAGGGAGGGAGAAGGATTTTTTTTTTAATTATGCCATATATCTTTTAACATCTTTGAATGTAATAACTAACATTACAAATGCTTTTCTTAGTCTACAAATATAGTCAATAACATCCCCGAGTGGGTGACAGGAGTGCTGTAAGAAGCACCTTTGCAAACAGAGGGCCACGCAGAGTGCTAGTAAACAAAGGATAGCTTCAGACATTTGTGGGAGGCCATATCTGCCAAACTGTTTTGAATGAATACTCAAAATAGTAAGGTAATGTGCTGCTAGAACTAGATATCACTAAAGGAACTGAGCCAGTGGACAGAAGGAGACAGGAAGGCAGGAAACCACTACTAAAGTGACTACAAGAGTGAATGATACTATTCATTTTCTCCTCAATTCTGTTTACTTTGTAGCCCAAGTTTATAATGAGCTAGAGGACAGAAGTCTAGATAAATGCTATTTTTAAAGCCTATGCCTGATTTACTACTCTGATAGCTGGTCTTCTGTCACATACCTTGGATTGAAATAACAGAAGTTCCTACTGCAACAAATCTGCACCTGAGCAAGTCACCTAGATACTATAGATATGGTTAGAAAACCTTTTAGACAAAGTTATAAATAAGTCTACTATTCATCTATTCTCATTTTTGTTCTTTAGCATTTCACTTTGTTCTCCAAGGATGGAATGAGAGTCTAGTGCCAGTGGAAAGACAAACTGAACTATGCTGGGCTTTTGGCATGCTTCAAACAATATTTTAGCTTGGAGGAAAGACAAAAGGGGGGAGTAAATATATGAAGCTGATGTTATTTTATTTCTTTTTTTCTCTACACACTGTTCATCCATACCCCCAGCACCAAGCCCTTTTTTTCTACAGATCCTTAGGAAGGTGCTAACCAGAACCTGACAACTTTGTTTTCTACTTTTAAGCCTTAAAAATCAAGAAAGATTTGCAAGTGGAACATAGTTTCAGGATTTCTGACCAATGGTTATTACCCTGACTCTTCTCCATGCACAGAAGTAACAGGAGTTGGAGACTATTATTTTATGAAAGTGATTATAATTCTGGCTAAAAGGATATTTCTTTGCAATTCTTTGCACTGATTATATAAGCACACAGAACCAGAAGGGACTTTCTGGATCGTAAGGTCCTGTCCTCCGATATCACATGCAGTCCTATCATATAATTCTTTTCATAAACTTATCAAACTCCATGTTAAAGCAAGTTAAGTTTCTTGCCCTTATTCTTATTGAAGAGATGTTCCAGAGCCTACTTCCTGTGATGGTTAAAAACCTTCGTCTCCTATCTAGTCAAGAGTCATTCATGTTTATACACATTTGTTCCTGTGCCAACATTCTTTTAGCTTAAATAGCTCATTTCCCTGCCCTGTGTTTACAGTTTTATGAATTAGTCTATTCCCTCAAACAGTAGATAACAAGAGGACACGGGGCCTGCGAGGGTCTAAAAATGAAAGAGAAGCAACACACTTCATTAACAATAAAATAAAATGTAAGGAGGTCATCGGCTGTGTATACTTACGGAGGTGTGACACCTTTTGGAAGTCCTAGTGCGTTGACAGGGACAGGTGGTGGCTGGGATGGTAGCATGGAGCTGAGGAAGGCTGCTGGAGACTGGTTGGAGTTAGAGAATCTAGCTGTTGGAGAGAGGCTGTGGGAAGGTGAGGAAACCAAACAAGGGAGAGGAGGGGGTGGAGGAGGAGGAAGCGGAAAGGAATCAGAAACTGCAAATGTTGCAGTTGGACTAAAGACTGGTGGAGGTGGTGGCGGGGGAGAGGGAGATGAAGGAGACCAGGGGTACTCCCCTTCTGGGGCAAACTGCTGGGAGAAAGGAGGAACAGGTGCTCGGCCAAATTGTTTCTGAGAGGTGGTTGGAGAAATTGGAGATGGAAGACTGGACGTTGATGATCCAGATGAAGGGGTCACATAACCTGAGGCAGGACTGATGTTCTGAGCAGCAATGAATTGTTTCGGCCGGGCATAGTTGAAGGAGCTGGATGACTGCATGTTGGGAGAAGTGTGGGAGTTGAGAACGCTCATTTGCACAGGGGAAGTGACAGACTGACTGGACTCAAGCTCCTGGAATGACGGGGGAGGAGGAAAAGAAGGAGAAGAGGGAGGATTTGGATGGGCACCAAGTTGCTGTTGATGATGATACCGCTGGCCACCTTCTTGTTCCAGACGAATTTGGTTCTGTAGTTGCTTTAGCTTTAGGGGGTCTCTGTATAAGAAGAAAGAATAATTATTGATCAGAGTTTTGGTGCTGCAGGGGGAAAAGATAAAAACAAAAAGACAGTCTCAGATACTGAATATTTTATAGGTATTTTAGAAACCAAAGTTGAAATTTGGAAGGACCTGCATGTCTGATTCTGAAGCCCATCTCATTGCTGGTAAAGTCTCTAATAGAACACACATTTGATATCATGCTGACACAACCCTTGGCTAGAACTGAAAGACCATTTGTAAACCGTATCTTTAATTATGCCATGAATCATTGCTAATGAGAATGGAAAATCTAAATGAAGTTAGGCGATTTAGTTGGATGCTCATTTAAAGCTTTTCACAATGGATCCAAACCTTTTGGCTAAGTACAGCCAGTCAAAAAGCCCGAGGCTGAATCAATTAAGTCTTTGAAGGTTAGTTTAAGCTGCAGAGTTTAAACGGAAAAGCAAGTGAACTTTTGATTCAGGAGATGCAGCCACATGCCTGCAGTGGCTCAGGCAGGTGCTAGAGCACATCTCCCAGCTTGCTAGCCACTGCCAAAAGGAAGGGAAGAGAGAAGCCCTCCAAGACTTTTCCCCCGTCTGTGCTTGAGCAGAGGGGCATGGCTAGGCCCCAGGCCAGGGCCAGCACAGCTGAGGCCAGGGGGAGGGGCGCTTTAAACCTCCCACCACAGCCCGCATGGGACTCCAGCCCGGGTCCCAAAGCATCAGCTGTCCAGGCACTAGTCCGCTCCCCAATCCACCACCTCTGTTCTTTCCCCTTCACCTGCAAGCAAATGACTGCTGCTAGCCACTGCAGTGCTAAATCCTGAACCCAAACTCTCGCGACCTTTCGGCTGAAGAGGGAAGTGTAAAGAAGGTCATTTTTGGTTTACTCCTGGGTGTGCCAAGCCAGCCAGGCTCAGCCTCTGTCCCATCAGCGCTGCTTTATCAGTCTGGTAGCTGTGGGCATGAAGGGCTCATCCTGTGTGGCCAGTCTGGCCACTAAGGTGCCTGCTCACAGCTGCATTGCTTCTGTGCCGCTGCCTAGCCAGCCACCGCCCGTGCATGCCAGGGCTCCTAGGACCCTCAGGGCACATGCCTTGCTTGGCCTCTTCAGCCTTGCTGCGGAGCTGCTTCACGCATAGGCTGCCCCATGCTGCCTCCTTGACCAGTTGCGGGTTCCTCATGCTGCTGGCCGGGCATGGGGCTTGCTCCTGCTCTTGGGTTGCCACTGCCACCCCTGCCCCCAGCCAGGCACACACATAATCCCCCTCCTCCCACCCGCCTGGATGAGCAGACGGACCCAGCTCTAGAAATACTGCTGACTGACAAAGCACTTTATGTACCTTCTCAGAAAGATGAGAGGAGGAAAAAATTAAAATGAAACCAGAGTAGAAATTGGAACCTCAAAAAGATTGGAATTTTTGGTGCATTTTAGGACAATTCCTAATTTGAACTATGCTTAATAGGTTAATGGTGAAAATCCTTAATATTATAGCCCATTCTGTTAAAAGGACCATATCTCTGTTTTCCTTTATCATGATATTCGGATATCTACCAAACTGTAACCACAATGATACTGTCAGATACATGGATGTCATAATTTGTGTCTGCTATTAGTTATATATGCTAAGGAGCCATAACTACTTAGTGCCATGCCCCTTAGGTCAGTGTTTCTCAACCTTTTAAGCAACAAGTATCCCCTAACTTCTGAAAATTTGAATAACTATCCCAACACTCAATTTTCCTGGGGAAGCTGGAACTGTTAAGTAAACAGAACCCCAGAAGTCAACCTGAACCTTTTACACTTGATGCTGATGAAATTCATGTCCTGTATATATTTTTTGCTTACTGAACTGTTGCTTGAATGATAATCAGTGTTATTGTTTTCCTCTTAATTGTTCCTTTGATATTCATGTGTACAAAAATACTGAGAGTAAGGAGCTAAGGTAGTTTGTCAATCTGCAATATAACAGCCATTCATTCTGCTGTTAAAGCACTACAAGTCCATACAGAATGTCATCTGTTATATATTTTAAGTCAGTATTTAGAGAGATTTTAGTGCAAAGTCTCCCAAATGTAGGACATCTGAATGTGCGTTTCTGACATAGTAATGAACTAATGGGTACTTAACTTTTGCTTGGTATTAACATAATTAAAATAGAAATATTGTAGGTATACTTCTAACTTACCATGAGCTACAATTTAAATTTTGTTGCTCTGACTCCCCACAGGTACTACAGTTGTGTTAATGTTGTGGTGTGAGCAGACTAACAAGGCCAGCACTCTCTACTTGAATATTAATGAATACTGATTGTAATTAGTTAAACACAATAAGACAAAGAGACTATGACATAAAAAAAAATACACATAGAAATTCTTTAGGCCAGGTAGATATACAATGACTAGAGATTAACCTAAAACTACCATAACACAGACTAACACTAGGGAGAAGCAGGAAACAGAAGTGGGAGTCAGAAGATCTCGGTTCAATTCCCAGCTCTACTAATGCCTACTGATAAATAAATGTTATACAAGAGCTAGATGTTATTACTGCATTATATTAGTGAATGGTGCACAGTAATCTACCTGCAACAGCACCAGGAATTTTACTTTGCCCTCATGCCCAGGAAAAGAATATTTGCTTATCCTACTATAACTGTGTTCCTTTGTCTGATGCAGTGTGGACCTGCTGGAAGGTACACGTGTGTGCCAAACTTGTGACTTTTAACAGTCATGTCTGTCAGGGCTGAATATGCATTTTGTGCTTCTGTGTGACACATATATATGAGAGTGGCTGTGACCTTCTTTCAGCTGCCCCCCCAATTAAAAATCTTCTGAAGATGGAAGACAGGTTGTTGAATCTACACTGATTACAATATACTGAGAAACTATGATTGCTACAAAGTACTGATATTTCTTCTTCCAGCACACGTCAGCATAGATTCCCTCAGAAGGCTGGGGCAAGGTGTTCCAGTTGCATCTGTCAAAGAGGAATTTAGGACTGTATTTCCAGGTCTGGCATCTACCTTAGTAGATAATATTTAAGCTACTCCATCTGACTGCCTTACGGAATGTTAGACGCTGGCTCATTCCTGAAGCAAGTGGAGGATATGGATTAAGCCCTGATGTTAAGAAGTGGAAGAACTCCAGTCAGATGGTAAAACTAAGTGATATACTATGTTATCCACTTTGGTATTCTTTCTCATTAAATTGTGTGACCTTTATGAAGGCCAGATATAACCAGAAATAAATAGGGAGTCTATCTCAATGCCTTGGTCCTGCTGCTGTAATAAAGCAAAGCTCTGGAAATGCCCAGAATATGTAGCCTCTACTTTACTATTACAGAATGGGAATTGGGGAAAGGACCCATAGGGTGAACAACTGATTTGGATGAAATTCTGAGACCATCTTAGGAAAGCACTTCAGGCAAGGTTTCAGCAGTGCCTTATCATTAAGGAATGTTGTGTAGGATATTTCAGCAATAAGTGCCTGGAGCTCACTGATTCTGCTGGCTTAAGTGATAACATCTAAGAGGACAATCCTTAGAATGAGATCATGTTAGGAGCATTCAAGAGAGGATCAATCAGAGGTTCCTTAGGCCTAAAATTGACTATATTTAGATTCCACATAGGAATAGGGTCTTTGACTTGTGGGCAAGTTGGTAAATGGCCCTTTAATAGCTGCAAAATATAACTGCATGAGAAGAGATTGAGCATGACTGCACGAGAAGAGATTGAGCATGACTGCACAGAGAGATTACAGCAGCCTTCCGTAAAGAGGACCTTGGTACAACTGAACAAAAGACTTGCCTGTGTAATAAGCAGTCAAGTATATTAAGTACTGAGGCCGGCTAGTACTTTATATACTTTTGGACTTTTGGTGAGATATTTTCGTGATTAATATCCTGCCTGTTCTGTACCAGGCTACTTTGAACTTGACTAGTGCAGGATGCTGTGATCTGCACTAATCAACTCTGATATGTAAACCAGGATGCTGTGAAAACAGAGACATGTAGTTTGGGAGCTAGAAAGGTAGTTGATTGGATGAAAACTGGCTTAACCTGAGTAGAACTGAGCAATTAGGTGGAAGATGAGGATTTCGTAGAGTTTTCTTTCTCTGGGTACTTGGGCTGTCAACCCCAGAGTCATGCTGTTGGATAGGGTTGGGGAGACTGGGTCCTCTGTTAAAGTTGGTACTTGTATGATTCTCTATAGAGAGCTGGTCTACAAACAATCCTTTGATTCTTTAAAGGAATGGAGCCCTTCATCAGGTGTTTGGTCTTAGAGCTGTTGCCTGAAGAGTTCCATCTCCCCAGAAGGTCTGATTCTCTTTGGGGAGCTTGAACCTCTGACCAGATATGCAATTGTATGTGACCTGAAGGTATAAACTTGAGCTGGACACCTCTGGATTTACTGTTTCTGGGGGAGAATAGCTCACACATGCAATATCTATCTGGGAAGTAAATCTCTCTAGGACAGAAAAGTCATTGATTATGCTTTACTTCCTTGGTAGGATTTGAACCTGAACAATATGGTATCTGCTATCTGGGTCAGTTATTGCAAAGTGCCTTTGATAATTTTCTTATTTTTGGAGAGGAAATTAGCAATTTGGAGAAAAGAGAGTGTAAAGTTGCATATTTTTCATAGAAGTTAATTGTAAAACAAAACTGAAGTTCTAAGGACGGTACATGGTTGGATATTTATGGGTTTCCATTTTCCTGTCATTAATGGCACTAGGGAAATGAGGGAATATTGTGGCCATTCTACCCCTTATGCTTTTGAGGAAGAGAACAAAGAGACCTGCAGTGAACACTGATGAACACTGTTATTCAGAGGACTATACCAATAATTTAACCCACTCTATTATGGTATCCATCGTGACAGAGATTTGAGAAAGTGACTAAATATATGGAAATATACTAAGCATCAGTTTACCCTTTGCTCAACATATTCTATGTAAGAATAGCTGAAAAATTTACAGAACGTTTTAAAATATGAGGTATGTCAAAGTCAAC